ATATATATATATATATATATATATATATATATATATATATATATATAATAACGTATATTCTTCTCATGTTCTTCTAATTACTCAGTTTGATATGAAGACAATTATTTACTCTATAACAAACGTATAGAAAGAAAAAAAGATTTATAGAGTTATTAAAAGAATCATTCAAATCAGATGTGATCTTATTTCTTTTACTCGATTTATTAAATGAAACAGATACTATGATTATGAATAGAAATTTGATAGATTTAAGATCTAGATATATATTTACTTTAATTAAATTCAATTTCATTGGTAAATAAGTCTAGTATATGTGTAGTTTTATTCAAAGTATCACTAATGACTTAACTTATTATTCAAGTGTATAATATGTAGTTTATTCTATTTTATATGACTTAATAAAATTTACACAAAATGTGGATAGATTTATGAAGCATATGATAAGATTATGATCATCTCAATTAATTGAGCATACAATATTTTGAAGAACTTACTATTTTGGGCTATTAAAATCCTATAAGTTGTAATAATAATAGTAAGTATGTACTAATGTAATATTAATTACTTTAATTATTACTTACTTACGCCTGTTACTCCTCGTGAAGGAGCATAGGCCAAACACCAGCATTCGCCATCCAACACTGTCCTGGGCAATCCTTTCCAGCTCATTCCAGTTCTTATTCATTCTTCTATTTCCCAAAATAATGTGTTCTTTGGCCTTTCTCTTTTCTGCTTCCCCTCAGGATTCCAAGTTAGGGCTTGCCTCGTGATGCAGTTTGATGATTTGCGTAATGTATGTCCTATCCATTCCCATCGCCTTTTCCTAATTTCTTCTTCAGCTGGAAGCTGGTTTGTTCTCTCCGAGAGAAGGCTGTTGCTGATGGTATCCGGCCAATGACTTTAATTATAGTCGTTTATATTATATAGTAGGGAGCAGTAGGATCGAGAATTTTTTCAACCTATTCGGAGACCAGTGAGTGGATGTATGTGCACCAGTGTTGTTTTTATTGAAAGTTTAACGAATCACTTTATCTCTTCACCAGTTAGAAAATCATCCTCTAAACTACTGAGTCACAATAGCTCTCACCTCTTCAAAAGGTATGGGGTCAGCTGTAATGATCAGAAATATTTTCTAATTAATATTCATGACTGAATTTAACCAGTCGTTGTTATACGGGTTCCTTAAAAGTATACCTTGGTGTTTTACGGATTTACCAAGTGATTATAATTTGGAAAATCGGCAACAGTTTAATCCATGTTAGACGTTCAGTTATATTAAAATAATCCTCTAATATTTGAAGTGATAGCTCCAGGCCTTTAGTTTTAACAGGAATATAAACACTGGGATGTATGTACATCCAGCTAACAAATCGTGAGTATGTGGTATTTGAATTTAAGATATAATCAACTAAATATTGATATTACGGAGACATGTTCAGGAAATTTAAGAAACAAAAACGGATCAAACAAATGCCAACAACCCTTTGTTACTGATTTCTCACTAATTTATCAAACATTGTGTCCCACTACTGTGTAGAACTTAAACCATATATCTGATCAGATTTTACTGCGTACACCTTCAGTATTAACAAATTTCCCATAACTAATCGATTTCTTTCAGAATTAGGTGAAAGAAGTAAACAAACTAATTTATTAATCAGATTATCTTAATAAATAGTTTGATTGAAATTCAAAAACTGTTTGTTCTCTTTTTATTGAATTAAGCTGTTTGTAAGAATTGTACTTAATTCTACACTAGTTCTCATCAAGAATTGACATTGAATAAAGATTCATCAAAAATGAAGGGAATCAAACAGCCAGGTTGATGTGATTTGCAACGAGCAAATTGTTATTTGGTTGGAAGTGAAGAAAAGGTCGGAGAATATGAATACAGTGACCTCAAGTGTTGGAAAAAGTATGAGATTCGTTGTCACTTCATGGTCCTCTACACTGTGGAAGAAAATCTCTTGAGAAAACACTTTAAAACGTAACAGGATTAGTAGTGGTTTAATTAACTTAAGGGCGTGACTGCAGAGCACAAGTGGACATCGTTTGAGACCTGTTATATACGACCTTTTTGCGAGTAGTTTTGGTGCATTAGCTCCGTGCTTTTTAAACCTTACTACTGGTGAAAGATATCCGTGTCACAAGTTGAAATGTATTATTGTTACAGCTGAACATTTCAAACCCATTCATTCTGTTGTAGAAAGGCGGGATCGTTACAGATGCTGGTTGTTTAGTGGAAAGAACTTACTGTAGTCACACTCTGTACAGTTTGCAGTATGACTTCGCCTTCGAACATAAATTTGTTTCTTTTAATCTTACCTTTCTTCTAATCCGCCTGCATAACATAGTAGGGAGTACATGAAAGAAGGTTATGGTTAATGTAAGTCAACTGAGTTATCACAAGATGCAAGCTCACTTCAAGGTAGCAGTGTAATCAAGCTATTCAATAAACCACAATTCAGTAACTAGCATATCCAACTTTAGTCTATTCGTGATATAGTGAAACCATAATTCGACCAATATTATTATTATTTATATTCAGAAATCATACATTTTTACAAGAAATTTTGATAATATAAATTTTTCAGCTGATCGCCAAAAAATTATTTATTCATTATCTAATCAGATGATTAGTACAAATTCTGTACTAAATTAAGGTATATTTGATCGGAGATTATTATTATGTACTCAAACTTACTATATGTCTATCAAACGAAACAAAAATCGATTTGATGATTATATTTCACGTAAACAATGGACTTATAAAGATAATAAAATATTATGTAAATAATAAGGACTACTTGTATATATGTCACTAATCAATTAGAAAATGTAATTTATGAGAAGATACAAATCAGAAATGAACTTCTACGTGTAAAATTTATCAGTGATTTTTGTTGTTGTAGAGAAATAAAAGATAGAAAACTTATTACAATAAGAGTCGACTAATGTCAATGTGTACTACTATAATAATCAATCATTCTTCTATATTAATAAGAATGTTAGAGAAAAAGAGAAATTAATTCTAAACTAGCCTTATAGTATACTGAATAATGTTAAAATAGATAGAAATATTAAAGAAATATAAATCTTTGTTAGTTTATAACGAAAAATCTGACAGTTGTACCTGTTTCATTGTTAAAATTATTTTTATTTATGTTAGATATTTACCATCTAAGAAATCTATGGTATGATGGTGCAATCCTATATGTAATATGAACTATATTACTTAGACCGATACAATCAGAATTCATATAAAATATTTCATTATTTTGCTTATGTACTGTGGAGACAGAAGCCGATTATACAGGTATCATCAATAACAATTAAGAAAATTAGATGTTATTTTCTTAAACAGTAACAATCAATCAGAATCTATTGTGTTAATGCTTGGCAAACTTAGTATTACCCTCTGCAACCTTATTAATGAATGATCAGTAAATTACTTGGTCTATTTATAGTGATAGTGCTAAGTAAAAAAGTACCCAGCATTACACTCACGAAACTCATTGATTTGACACACTTTAGTGAGTACATACAATTTTCAGTTATTTAATCTATATAAACTGGAAATTATTCAGTAAGCATTATCAGATCATATTATAAAGACGATAAATTAGCGAAGCCACAAATCAATAACAAATATTAACGTGACTTTGATGCCCGATATCACTTGTGACTAATGATGCTCCTCTCAATTTTAAGGTAGAATGATGGTGAAATAAATAGTTAAATGGCATGCCATATATACATTTGCTGTTTGAAATTTACATTGAAACATAATAAAATAACCACAGAAACGAATCGCTTAAAAGCAATATGTATATTAAACAATTACGCAACTCATACAGATCGTGTAATCCAAACTAAGATCCACGAACAATGTTTATATGAAACAAAGAGAAAGACAGGAGTATAACAGAAAAAGATATTAACAGTTGATGGCGACGATGAGCTGTGTATGAATCTGAAAGAAATATTTCCCATCATCTTTATTCAAAAACAGTCGTCAATTAACACATGAAATTTTTTATTCTCAGGAAAAGATATATAGTTACAACAATAATTGAGATAGAATATTTCGCATCACATAATTGTGCACATCATAAGTAACTTTATATTCTTCTTTGCAAAAACTATCTGACAAAATAGTGATCTGTAACATCATTACTGACATTATATTTGTATAGATGATAAAATCAGTAGGGAATTTCTGTTCAACCTCATTAACCATATGAGTTTTGTTTTTAAAACATTTATAAAATGTCTACGAATTCATCGGTTTTTTAAGGGTTGTAGTTTACTCCTATTTATAGGAATACTTTTTTATTATTAATAATTCTAATCTCACGAACTGCATAAATGTTCGCAAATTACATTTTCAGCCAAACATAACGAATGCCCTAATAGTACTACAGTTCGTACGTCCAAACATCATAATATGGAGATGGTTTCGAATGCACAACTAAATGGAAGTAACGGGTCTTAAACAAAATCCAAAACTTAAATGAATCAAAATGAAAAATCACTTTAGTAAACACCCATGTTTTACTTCGTTGATATGTCAACACTATAGTAACCAAAACAAACACAACACACACCTGAACTAGTCTGTTAAATTTATGCGTTTACACAGATTCAACATTACAATCATTCCATTAATTTTATAGAAATCCAAAACAAATTTAGAATTCAATTTTGTTGATATTCATTACACGACAAATATGATTTTTCTTTTTTTAAAAAAAAAGGAAAAGAAAATTTATGTATATTGAGCAAACATATTAATTTAAATCTGGTAAAAAGTAAAACCATGATAAGTATAAATCAATAATAAGAAGGAATTCTTCCAGAGAAGAAATTCCAAATACACATTTTTTTCATAATGTTAATAATAATAAGAACAATCGCAAGAAGAAATAGTACAGAAATGAGTATACTTTAGATTATCTGTAGAGAAGAAGTAAAAAGGATAGGGCACGGAAATAATGATGAAAATGAATAATGATGGTATTATTATGAAGTCACTTGAACATACATGAACGCACGCACGCATAAACACAAATACATACGTTTACAAAGTCTAATTCCAACAAAAAGTTATCAAACAGTTTGTACCTCTTTTATCTTTCATTTATTTATAATCATCAGCTTTCAAAAAGTCATTATTATTGAAGGTAAAGAAAATGTGTATTGGAATCAATAAAGAATAAATAATCAATATACATCGGAAAGATAGTCATCCATACAAAGGAGATAGATGTTGAGTGAAAAAATCATTCCGAACACTATATATATATAATTGTTATTAAATCTCTGCACCTATATAGAAAAGACATTACATCAGTGAGAAGTAGTTAATGTAGGATTAGTAGTAGGGATAGTGATTACAAAAAAGACTCAAGTATGTATATTTATAGTATAGCATAAAAATTACAATATACTGTGGAATAACAATCACTGTCATCATTTGTAAAATTTATCTGTCACGAGGGACAAAAAGAAAAACATGTTGCAGTAAAGAAAATGGAAATTTTAACAAGACGTTTGAATGGAATAAGTGTTGTATAAATTGATCCTGTAAAAAAAACACATCGAATATCTCACCTAATTTTAATATGGGTGTTTCTTTGCATTTTCTGTTCCATGTAATAAACAATATGAAGTGAATTATTTACTGTTGCTATTATTACTGATGTTGCGATTTGCTATTGAACACTCCAGTCTGCCAGAGTATAATTATCACAATTACCAGAAGTATGCCACCGACAACGCCAACAATAATTAATTTCATACGAAAATTTTCCCACCAAGTTTTTCGGGCCACTTTTGTAGCAGTTGTTTGGAATTGATTAGCCTGAAGAAAAACGATTTTGAATAATTTTTGTGAGTTTATACATAAGAAAATATAAAAATAAATCATTAGTCTTTTCTTCGAGTTGAACATGGCCTTATCAACTTTGGTAATAGTTGTAAGACATGTCAATTTTCTATTGAGGTTGTCTGGAAATAGTGGGTAACTGAAGAGTAGTTCAAGACCAGTTGGACTGTTACGTTGTGTTTTGTGGAATGAGAGTGGATTACGGTTCGCCTTTTTCTATGAAGCAGTTACACTAACACAATGTTCAAGTACTATTTTCCTCACAATTCACAGAACTGTCGAATCCTCGACTAATTGAACAGCTCTAATACAAAAAGCATAGTATTCAATATAAAAGCGAACATTGCCTTATCTATAATAATTTTCCCTTAAATAAATTATGCCCTCAAAGGAGAACGATAAAAGCAAAACTAGAATACACAAGATACAACAAATTTCTATATTATTATGAGCAAAAGAAGAGAAATCTACATATAAATGAATGTAAAGAACAATAGCCGTGACATACGACCCTGTAGTAAATTTCAGAAGAAATCGGTTGCGAAGGAAAACAAAATGCGTTGCCTTGACAGAACAACTTACAATGCGAAGAGAAAAAGGTTGTATACTAGCAGAAAGACATAGTGTGTATGTGTGAGAGAGGAAGTAATCGATCGAGGAGAAAAACAATAAACAAAGTAAATTAATATCTGCAAGTATTGCTTTTTTGTTTATACATTTACAAGCATTAAGTTAGGAAGTAAATGTTACAACCTACATTTTTGTACAGATAATAGTTAACTTGAGTCAAAAATGAAATAAAAGTGCAAGCATTGAATATATATTGAGATAAATTCATTAGCTGGATTACAGAAGGATAATTGACGTATAAAAATGGGAGAGAAGATTTGTAGATCAGGTGAAATTTCGTTTTCTGAATTAAATGACTGTACCATGAAGTTTTCATAGTTCTCCTGGACAACATTTCCGACATAAACTACCTGAAGTTTATGTTGATGATGTTGTTTAGAAGAACAACGAATGCTTCAAGGTTCACTTATCCGACTCAAAGGATGAAACTACACGAAAACCAAAAGCCAACCGATGATTAATAAGAATGACAGAACACAGAAATTTATAGAACTAACTTTTAATAAACTTAATAACCTGAATTATGATAGCAAAACTTTTGAAGGCAATTTTACATGTGAAAATACGATTGATTGTCTGACATCTATAAAATATTCAACTTCCTTATCTGATATTGTTCAAATTGAATAAATAAACTGTTTATGATCCAATATTTCATTTAAGTAAAGTACATAAAAACATATTGAAAATACAGATACAGCTTTAATAAATAAAGGTTAATAACTATCGATAAGTTTAAATTTTAGGTGACTAAACGACTCGACATTACGAAAGCGAGTAATATGTCATGTAATTTATAACTCTAAAAAGTCGAAATACAACAAAAAAAGTTGCATAAAAACCCTTACATTATATATATGTATTTCTCTTTAAAACGAAGTATCATTATCCAGACATTTTTAGTTCATTTCATGATTCTACATAAGTTGGTACGTGATTTTAAATTTAAAGACACTAACTTAGCGACTCTTCAAAATATTATTTAATTTACTTATTCTCCTTAAGAGGACTTGTAAGCTTCAGCTATACTAGTTTTGATATTTGCTTTTCATTTTGTATCTTGAAAACAATCTAACGGCTATTTAAAATGTTAACTGATACAACAGGATAAGATATAAAATCAAAGTTGGTTTAACATATTGAATAGGAATACCTTTCAGCCAACAACCTAGTGAGTCAACGTCTTGGTAAAACTGAACTATACTGACGACCTTGAATAGATCGAGACTTATGATAACCCATATCCGATTTCTGCGCAAAAATCAAACTAAGCAAACCCTACCGATATTTAGTTCCCGAAATATTTAAAATCGATGGAAAAAGTATTCTTATGCAACCACATAATAGATGTGACAGAGTATGTAAACTTAACTCAGAGAAATACCCGCCGCTAATGAAGATTGCATCTAAATGATGTGATTTTGGATATAGTCAAGAGCGTTTATATGATCGCAAAGTATTTTCTCACTCCAACTCCTAAACCTCTCTCTAAACAATAGGATGATACCATAATTTATGGACGAAGTAGTTAGGCATTAGATAGCACCTCTTGAATATTTGCGCGAAATCCAATCATCCATATTGCTATAAAGCACTCGCATCATAGCTGTATCAGTTTGCGAGTAAAAACCTCATAACCCTAGCCCAAACTCCTAATACATAACCCTTATCATTCTTCGTTTACTATAATAATTTAACACATAAAGGTTCATTGATCATGTTAGAACTATTTATCTACAATAATTTTATTTATGACTTCTTATTGTTAATTATTTTATTAGTAAATACTTTTCTGATTGGATAATAAGTCACCTAAGATCCCCAGCATAGTAAGTTTTACCAGCCTTTCTTCTTTAAATAGTGACAACAAAATTAGAGTAAACTCTGGTGCTGATCACTTACTAAACATGATCGGATTTATGACAATTAGTCTACTGAGATACATTGCTAACACGAAATCAATATCTTAGTATGCTTAGTAGCAATTCCTCAAACAAAAACGCAAGTCATTTGATAAACAACTTCCCAGTAGTGTTAACACAAATAGAGTGCGAAAACGGCAGGTCATCTTGATGTTAACAAGATCGTTAAAGGTGATCACAAATCGGGACTCAATGTAGAACAGTGACTGAATGAACCATACACCTTTTGCACTTTATTTAGGTAATTAGCCGTGAACCAAGCTATTTGTGTGTAGGCAAGTAATACTGTGGTGTGGGCTACTTATATCCACACAAGTGGTATATAACGGTGATCAGGCATAGAATGTATTTCAGTAGGTCGATGAGGAAATAACGGGAACGGAATGCAATTGGTATGAAAACGCATGAACAATGAAATATGAGACAATGGATTGATGTTTGCAACAGGAACAGTCAAGTTTGAGATGATGGATTGGTATAGCGCAAACTAACGATTTACTATACGGTTCTCAGATTTTATTGAGATACATCCGACTGTCCCCACTGGTGTTCTGTTCACTATAATACTACCTGGGTGCCCAGATCAAATTAAGTGGAATGGAGTGTGAAACTCTGACCTATAGTACGAAAGACAAATGCTTCGACCATTAAGTCACAACTTCATAAGACGTTGGTCGGCTGAATACTGTTTGAATTAGTGTATCCCGAGTAATAATAAGAATATTGTTGGATTTTAAAGTCAAGTCCAGGTCACATCTGAGATATAAATTTTTCTATGGACAGAATGTCACAAGCAAATACTTATGGTATGAAACAATTTTTCAGAGAAAATTAATTATTATAATAGTTTGAATATAAATGCATAAGTCAAAATTAAAGCCGAAAATAATACAAAACATTATATAATTGCAAACACTCACGCTGGCTGCAAGTTCATCTGTTTTGCTGACCAAATTGTTTAACCGATCACCTCGTTGAAGCGCTAGTCTAGTATTCTCTTGCATAACAGCTGTTACAGTATTCACATTATTACGTAACTGGTCCAACGAATCATTTCCCTTAGAAGAGTTGGGTGATTCCTGAAAAATACAATAAATATGGGGAAAATGATGTTGCACACAATAGTCAATTAGAAAGAGCAACGATAATATCAATACGGGTAAACATGAAATGAATTTCACAGTTAGAGCTATTTACTGTTAAGCTATTAAAATGTGGTAATTACAAAAGTAGTTGGAACATATAGATTCGTTATTATGAAGTACTTTTGCATCATATTCAAGAAACTGTTGTAATAGCCAGAGACATAAACTTCATTACTCTAGAATAGGTAAGTGTTTAATTTAAAATAACTATTGTAATTAAAAAGGTTGGCAGTATAAATGCAATTCAGTCAGTCAGTCAGTAACAACGTAGAACTTCGTACGTACGTACATCAGTTCGAGTTGCCACACCACATTAGCACAGAGATGCAGTTGTCGATTCAAATCACGTAGTGGTAGAGGTAATAAGAGTATAAGCAGTAATCGGGAAGATTAGGGTTTGGAGATGTTATTTAAAGAGTATAATCCAGTGAAATAAATTTGGAAAGAGGAAAAAAGGGACATGAAGAATTCAGAAGATTAGAATTTGGGAGAACACAAAGAGTGGATGCACCTGCGCCATTGCAAACGATTTTGAGCCATGTCATTCAGGGTCCCTAACCATCGGTTGCTATCGTCTCGCATATCCCAACCAGGTAGTCTACACCTACCAACATGGCTCAGTCCACTTGTCAGTGACTTCATGGACTTGTGCCATGTTTTGGTCTGGCCGCCTCTAGCTTTCTTCCAACCTACTCCTATACCACTGAACATAGCACATCAAGGCAATCGGTGGTTGGGCATACGTAACACGTGTCCCAGCCATCTCAACTCATGAAGTTTCACTACTTCATCAATTGATTTGCCATCCTTACCTAGTACTCGTTTCCTAACTGTGTTACTTACTCGATGGTCCCATGATATACGAGCAATGTTTCGAAGACACCTATTATTGAATACTAGTAACCTACGAATTTCCTCTACTCTTACCGGCCATGTTTCACTGCCATAAAGTAGGACGGGACGAACTGCTGCGCAGTAAACACGTCCTTTGGTTGATAGACGGATATCTCGCCTACACCATAAATGACGCAAGTTGACAAAAGCTAGTCGAGCCTTTTGTATCCGTGCTGAGATTTCGTCACACACCAAACCACAAGGGCTGATAAGACTTCCAAGATAAGTGAAGCGGTCGACACACTCAACTACTTCACTCCCTATCACTAGTTCGGGTGTCGATGTAACCCAATCCTGAAGCAACATTTTGCATTTCGAGGGAGATAATCGCATCCCGAACATGCTTGCATTGTTGCTTAGAGTGGTCAGAAGACTCTGCATTTTGTCAGCGTCTTCACCAAATAAAACGATGTCATCTGCATATTCTAAGTCAACAAGTGAACCTCCCGGTAGAAGTTCAACCCCTGGAAATTTAGATGAGGAAAGTGTTATCTCTAAAAGTACGTCGACCACAAAGTTGAACAAGAATGGGGAGAGTGGAGATTGGAGACAGAATCCAAATTAACTTTGATAAAGAGAAAGACGGATCAACAGACATGGGAATGATACGAATAAGCGACCAAAAATACATTTTACTATCTAGTACAAAATAAGGGAATCCGTTTCCTTTGGAAATCAGTTTCATCAGAGATGTCACGACTACACAAGGCTTCTGTACTTAGACTGGTGATAATAGGAAATCTACTTTTCTATGGACAAAGCAGTGTTTAGTTGACTAAATTTCTAAACTTTAGACCGACAGGTTGAAGGGTTCAACCTCTCTTTACATACTTCACTTTAAATAACTAGGTGGTAGTGTTATTAGCCTTCGCCCGAAATATGGCCTAAAACTAAGTAAACGAATTTGCACTCGATTATTGAGTTCTGTTAAGAAGAATTAATTTGAACGGTCAAGCACAAAGTATACAGACTAGGTGCTCTGTTCTACAAACTTGAGGAAGCTGATAGAAAAAGGACTGAAAATTGAGTGGTAAGTATTTTTGGAGTTTATTTTGTGTTTTATAGGACAGCCGGGTAAGATATGTTAAGCTTCGGTGTAGAATGCCGATGGATGAAATTATGGGACCATAAAGAGGGATGGAAGTGGTTAGAATGTCCTAGGAATAGTCGGCTCTCAAGGAACAAGTCCTCTGGATGAGGTGACACTGATTCATCTATCTTTTGTTTTCATATTTATTTTGCTACCATAGTTCTTGGCCTTCAAGTCGCGGGAAATGCAACTGTAGTAACCATCATTTACTTGTCTTTACTTATTCTGCATATTCTGCGTATCTTCCTTCGATCTGATTTGTCCATTATTTTTTTAATTGGTTGATGGATTAGATTGATTCCTATGAGTTTGTTGATTGCTGACTGACTCGAGTGCCAAGCCTCTCACAAATTCTTTGGTGTTCTTTGTATTTTCTCTATCCAGATCTCAACATTTTTCTAATCGAACGAAAGGTACATAGATCGGGTTATCAATAGTAGAACTTATTGCAGAAGCAGTGATGCAGAGACGAGAAGACTCGATTTTACCGGTGATCAAACCAAAATGTGGGTTCGTTATGTGGGCTACGTATTCGTCATCATCAAAAGCGATGTGACAGAAAACAACTACAATCTGATCAAAATCGTCTTCGATGACATAAAATCCACAATGGAAAAGGAGTCGAACAACAAATCATCATTATTTGATGTACTGATTATCAGAACCGACACAAGAAAACTGGAGACTCAAGTATATGAGAAGCCAACCCACACAGATCAAATTCTCAACTACAGCAGTGAAAACCCAAAAACTCAGAAGATCAATTACGTACAAAGTTTATTCAAGAAGATGAGAACACAGTGCAGCACACTTTCAGCACGGAAAAATGAAGGAAAATATCTGGTGACCATCCACCAAAAGAACGGCTACCCACACAAGTTCACCAAGAAATGTTAACCCAACTTATTATCAGAAAAGAAATCAAATACAGAAATCAGTAAACGGATAATCCTACCATATATAAAGGACATATCCGAAATTAAAACGTTATTGAAGCTGCTTGGAATAGGTGGAGAACATAAACCAGTAAAATCACTTTAACTAACCCTATGCAAACCACAGGACGAAGGGACAAAAGAAGAAAAACCAAACATCATCTACAAAACAAACTGTTCCAATCGCGAAAAACACTACATCAGACAAGGTGGACGCCCTTTTATCTTCGACTGCATAGACACCTATTAGCGGTCAAACGGCATAATATATCCTCGCTTACATCAATGCATGTGGACAACGATGGACACATATTCGACGTCATTAAGTAAAAAATATGGTATTCAGCAATTAAAAGCAGATGATGTATAAATGCAGTCATGTACTCTCTTTTAAGATAAATAATAGGGATTGAAAAACTATGAGGTTTCAAAGCGGCCAAAGAAAATCTATGTGCCATCTGATTGTGTTTCAGATAGACAAACAAATCAATGAAACAGGGTTAGTAGTACAAGTAGTCGGGAATATTTGATATAGCTTTCAGCACAAAAAGCATTCCATACAAAGGAATTGAAAATATTATAGGGGAAAAGAAGTGAGAAGTCACACAATTCATAGATATTAAAAACAGTATTCAATCAGAGAAAACGTTTAGTCAAAAATCTAGCCAAAAACGATTCCCCTCAGTTCACGAACTATAGCAGAATAGCCACTGACTCTGAGTAACACCTGATAACTTCTCCACAATCACCAAGACTCTAACCGGGAAGTCGTAGTGGACTGGTAGTTTCAAATCCTGTATCATTATTTTTCGTACCAGAGTTATATCACAATCGATAGATTCAGGATACTAAACAACTAAAAGTCTAATTACGATTCTTTACCACATAAACCAGATTAAACCAATTGAGGTGATGTCAAAACACCGAGAAAAAAAATCTTAGAATAACGTTTAAAGCTTAAAGATAGTTGACTATCTCTGAAATTTTCAGACGTCTTAGTTATTTAGACTTGTGAAACAAGCCACAGACCAACATTTCCAGACATTAGGGAGTTGTTCAGTCAAAATACATACAATTCTTCCAGTATATTATACATCAACCATAACTTACTTCTTAAAAGATTAAAATCAGAAATGATACAACATAACTTACCATCAAATCTTCCAAGGTTATATTATAAGACTGTTGTAAACAATCTTTACCACCACTTTTAGCCCTTTGAAATCTTGTACCATCGCTTAGAAAATTGCGAGAAACCTGAAAATTAAAGTGTTGAAAAACAAAATTAGACTTCATTATTATCACGTAGTTAATTCGCTTTAGGGATTTTTGATAAACATGCGGTAACTGAAGGGAGAAGCTGAAGGGAAACCTAATACATCTATCAAACATGGTTCCAAAATCGACAGGAAACTGAGAACTAATAATATTACCGATTATTATCAGTCGAGCGTTTAAAGTGGGAATGATATTAATTCACAATCTCAAGTTGGGAGCTCTCTCAAACTAGAGGCTTTGAAGAACCGAAATTTATATCACACTACTCTATGGACTGGATTCAATCACATCGAGTGAGCTACTCAACTTTTCATATTCGAGTATCAGTCTACCTAGTCCAGCTAGTGAATAAGTTGGTTTCGAATTAGACCAAATAGAACCGATATTTGCGGCCACAAAAGTAGAGACTTTATCATCACACTTGTTAGTAGGATTTTAGATTTTCTGTGTATAAATGTGAATTTAACGTTAGACGTGCATTATAAGGGCGAAATTACATGTGACATACAGAAAACTGGAACATCCACATGGTACTTGGACCCCAAAAGCCTCAATTGTACCATGGATGTAATAGTATTCCTCGTTAGAACAAACCTCGGACCTTTTGGGTCTTACTATAATTCAACAATTTATTCAACCGTATTAAGATTGGTGACATTTCTTAACGGACTCGTATGAACGACGCGTAAAAGTGCCTTCCAAGTAGCATGACATTGATCTGTGGTGATGTTCGCACTATTCTTCCACAATCTACAGCGTTTGGAGATTAGTTTCATATAAACATTATGGAACATCTGAACCCCCAAGAAAAATTGTTCCCCTTGATTAAATGTGTACGATAATAAAGTGTGGTAGTCTGACTGTTTTGCGCAGTTCCACATACACACCAATCACATATTATTATCGAGATTAAATCGTTAAATACCATTATGTTAATTGAGCAAAAAAATTATAAAAACTAAGTTCATTTGTGAACAGACTAACCTCTACAACCAAGTTCCGAAATTTTTGTCGAGAAGCATTTCGATCGGTTACCGCGATAAAGGAAAGTCCTGAAACGGTCAGGCAGTGAAGAGAGAAACTAGAGTGAAAATAAAATCAAGACTGAAGCACTTACTCCCCTTCGCTATAGTATATATCTTGATCTGGAGGATTACATAACAGATATTTAAGTACCACGTCTTCAAAGCTACGTTTTGAGAACGACCGATGCCAAACGATATGTTTCTCGTTTGTTATAGCAAAGTAGCGTAGATCCATCGTTCAGAAAACAGACAATTGAGCCAACATTTTAAACTGTGCACCTATCTAGACTGCGCGCTGTTGGAAGCGCAAATAGCACAAACGAAATATGCTTCAGCCTTCAATCTTAAAATTATGAATGCAGCTGTAAAGAAACTTGTTTGAGAGGTAACCAGAAAAATGAGCTCGTATGCTCACAGTTGAAAATTCCATGTCTTTCGAACTTAGGAAGACGGACTCGAACCTCAATTATCACTCGTAAATGTTTTAGATTGCTTAGTTCTGGTCATCATAATATTCACGCTCTATCTAAAGTAAACAATATACTCTCGCATCAAGCCTAGAACTGCTTGTACAGGAATTACTCAGAGCAAAAATATCCGAGGTTTGAAAACATGCTTCATACAACAAACTGTGGTTTATTTACAATCGACTCATTGGAAAAAACGGTCGATGCTGTCGTTTGTTATCCTAAATTCTGCTTTTCTGTTTGTTGTTCCACTGAAACCAGTTTCGTAGTCGGGGGGGGAGAAGAGGTGATGTACGGGTAGAAAAATTCCGTTGAATTTCGAAAGCTGAATGGTCTAATAAACCAAGAAATTAAACGTCTGAACTTCGTGTCTATTCAGAAGCGTCTGTCCCGTAAAATCTCTTCTAACATGCGAAAACTAGTTAAAGAGCCTGAAAGTAGGGGACTCATTAGTGAAGAAGCCCAGCTGAATGTTCATGTTTTGAATACGTTTATTGTATGTCAATCTTTTGATATCATGCTTCCTGCTTCCGTGAGTCCGAAGGTGAACTGATTCTAGAAAATGCCTCCAGTCCCTCGAATCATTCCAGTGTTTAGGATCTGAAAAGTGACCAAGCATCCATGATGAGAAATGTGTTGGCTTTTGTTTCATCTATTTATGGGGATCTTCAGCGGATCCTCTTTAACTAATTTTTTACCAGAAGTGCATAAAAAGACGAAGGTAATCTCACTACCAAAGAAAGTATCAGATGGTACGATTGCTAAATTTAGACCCTTAACAGTAACTTCGACTTTTCTCACTTCATGCTCAACTTGAATTAAAAGAGAATATTGATCAATACCAATTTTTCCACAAATGCAAAACACGTACCTTGGATGCTGCTATTATTTTGTATGACAGTATTGTCTTCATTTTGAAAAGAGGTAAGAGATACGTTAAATGCACATTTCACGGCTAGACGTCTGAATTTGACTTTATTTCATGAACACTATCAAGCAGGCACAATAGTGTCGCCTCCGACAGCTGGATACTCGTCTATATCTTCACCTCTGTGGAAGAGAGCAGTATAATATATGTTGATGGCAGCGCTACAAAGAACCGTTCTTGCCCTTTTTCTGTGTACGGTCCTCCGTCTTCCACAAAAACACTTGTGTCAAATGTGTGGACGATTTTACCGCTTGTACGCTATTTTCCGTCTCTAAACACCACCTTGAGATGAATGAGTTCTTATCACTTATTCAATGATAGCCTATTGTTAATAGTCCTACAAATAATCCTCCCGTATTTCAAATTGTTAATCTTAACCTGGGACATAAACAGTACTTAAGAACTTTTCTGGGATCACGTAGAGCTTATACTGTTCGAGATTCCTTATTAAAAATGTACTGAAAATCACTCGTCTTAGTTCAGGTTTTTCCTACTACCTCACACAAGTTGCTGTCTCTAAAAAAACTAATGGAACTGATAAAGTTTGACGGTACCGACTGAGTCATGAACTGATAAGAAAATATATAGAAACTAACTGTGCTAGATGAAGGCAACTGCGGAAAAACAGTACATCAATTATGAAGATAATTGTCCGTAAATTTATTAACTGATTGTGTCTTTGGCTACGCGGCTTGTATCGACTATAATGCGCGACTGTTAGTTTGTAAAAATGCTTTGTGGTGGCGTAAAAAATCACTGAGGATAACTATCTATAGAGTTAGCTCGGTATTAACTGATGGAAAGAATGCAGTTTCGTTCTTGAGTCTGAAAACTAAAGAGTGTTCGGAACATGTCCCACTTTAACGATTCAGAGGTGTCAGCAAATAAAAGTAAGTTTGAATAATGTTACTAAGTAACCTGAAAATATTACAGCAACACCAAATAACCTCATAAAATATAGTAGTATGGGTCTTCAATATACGTACTGATTACTCTAGTTTTATTGCAAACGTTCTGTTTGTGGCATAAATTCGAGGTATCGGACCTCTTCGAGAGAATGCCTATCGACTCTATCATTTAATGAATTAATGGTTTATGATTCGTATAAACTATGAATTCCCTGGTTCTAACGTGTGTCAGAATTGCCTAGTGGTTGCGTGCATTGATAGAAGTACTTGTCCGAAGGAAGCATATCTCGTCTCTTCTTGAACAGATATTTTTGACAAGAACACAATTGGTTCCCAGGCGTTTCCAACAAATTGGTTAAAAGTACCGCTCAATTATTTGTCTAAAGCATCTACTATCAAGCGAGTGAATTTTCGAATACGTCAATGTAGATAGTGATAATATTTCTGCCAGGAAAGGTACAAGCCATTTTCTACAGACATGGTCTACAAATTACAACATTTATTGGCTCTCAGTATGTTTATCTAACAGGGTAGTTATACAGATAAAATCAATAAAAGTGAAAAACAGTACATTCGTATACATGTCTTGAAGCGTTAATGCTTAGGTTTACGCTTTGGCTTTACCCTGAGTAAAGTCGTCAACATATTCTCCAAAGTGGCATCGCGTCCACGTGTTTTCCCAAGGTCATAGTTTACACCAAGTGCTCTACAAGTCTACTTTATAACAACTAAAAACTTAAAAAAGTATTGCATAAATACTTGGCACGAACAGAATTCTAATGCAATTATGCCGAGATTGCATCTGGTGTGTAACATGGACGCGATGCCACTTTGGAGAATATTTTGAAAACTACTCAGTATATCCGAAGGAATGAACTGCTATCCATTTTTATAGAGTATATTTATTTATCATGCATACTGTGGAACAATAAATTTGTGATTTTTAGGTCATGCCTGTAAAAATGGCATGTACGTGCATTTGTAGAAATTATATATATATATATATTAATATGTTATGATTATGGACGTTGAATCAATACTGATGTAAATATCTTGAGCATTTATTCATTTGCTCCCGGTGTTGTGTTCGGATTCCTCAGAATCACAGATTGTTTTGTGCAGCATCGATACTTCATCAGTGGTGTGGCGAAAACAGCAATAAATCAGCAGTCAGCAGTGTTACCGAAGGACAGAAGATATTTGATTGACTCAAAACTGTTGTAATTAATATCAGTTATTTCGCCATGTTTTTGAATGCATCTGTTTTACTCGACTTCTGAACGTGTTTATTTAGATCTTTGACCCCTGACATTTTAGTTTCACTACGTCTTTGGTTTGATATTTGGAAGCGCTTGTTCTAGAAACTGAAGGTTCGTTTTGTAACTGTTATAATTACTATTAGATCAATATTTTTGTGGTGAAACTATGATTGATGGACAATCTTTGAGCGACGCTAGAGTGTCCTTTAGAGTATCCACCTAATAACTAGGACTATATGTGCGTTGCAAATCATTGTGGGGAATTAGTATTATGATTTGCAGTTGGTGGGTAAGGTTATGAATTAGATTTGGGGTTTTCATCACGAACTGACATTAGCTACAATTCCAAAACTCTATTTAACCAAGTGAGTGAGTGTATTTCGCGCCAATATACAATACCTGTTATCTTATACTTGATTGGTTAATCCATGAATTTTAGTCTCATCAATTTGGTTGATTAATCGTAATTTACAGACGAAATTGGGTACCTGAATAAGAGTTTAGTTCTACTGTTATTTAGGGTCTCAAGTTACACGTAGATCTATCTGCTGTGATTCGGTAACAGAAGAACGGCAGGGTAAAAACGATCTTGGACGGATTGACAAGAGGCGGTCATTCCGTTTTTCACTTGCCGTGGGTTTGTTGGGTTGCAGAAGTATTAAGTTTTTTTCATATTTAAGTTGTATATTGCTGCAGTAAAAGGCACAAAACAACTGCCGAAAGCTGTTTTAGCTTCCTCTGGTTTGTAGTGTACACGTTGGCTCTATTGGTGCTTCATAACTTGATCTGTATTTCTGATTGCTCTAGGGAACCTCGCCACATTTGTTTAATTTTTTGATAAGGTCCAGAAAACAGTGTATCAAAGACAAGAATAACTTATCAGTTATAGATACGCAAAGTCAGTGTGAATCGCTGTTTAACGCAAAGTTTAAGACGAAATTTCAAGTCACTGGTAAGTCTCTAATATTTGTGGTACTTCCTTCAGTTAGTAAAGTATTATTGCAAGAAACGACATTTTTCCAAATATAGTAAGTGCTGTTTGTAGTGCTTCATGTTCAAGAGACAATTCGGTCGACGTAAGCGAGATGTTTCAACCTATACTACTAAACAAGCGTTTCGGGAGCTGGATTAATTTCGATAGTGCGCTAAAGGAATTACAAAAAGTATGGAGGGATAATTTTATCCCTTCTCAGACCACTCATACTTAGTACATTCACACCGAAAGTAAAATGCTCAAGGACATGAGATTTAAATACTTGTTTGTGATGCTTCATCTCACATTTTGTCGTAAGCGTAAATCAGAAGGTCTGACAGTGAATTAAAAACTTTGAAAGCTTTAACTAATATGTGACGTATAAGGTCTAAACTGTCAATCAAGGTTCCGTGTTAGATTGGAAAGTGAAAAATATGAAATAAAAGCACATAAGGTGCTTCAAAATCATCCATCTATTAGTTGATTATTGGTTTATGATTCATGGATCAGAAGGTTGTCCTTAGAAGAAAAAAGGATTTTAAAGCCAGTGATATTGCAGTCACAGTCAAAAGATCAATTAATAGAAAGTATTGAGGACCAAACTGGTAAGCAGTTCACTGCTGCTGATGTGGAGACTATGAAAGCTTAACGCTCTACAGGTAAGTGTAATAAAGTACATTTCAGATTGTTATACGCGACT